AGAGGCTGAATGGTTACGCCATTTTCTCGAGGATATTCCAAGTTGGGAGAAGCCTGTCCCTCCAATATGCATACATTGTGATTGTCAAGCGGCAATTGGAAGGGCACAGAGCAATCTCTACAATGGTAAGTCTAGACACGTTCGTCGTAGACATAACACCATTAAACAACTCCTCACAACGGGTGTTATCACTATTGACTACGTGAAGTCAAAGGATAACGTAGCGGATCCGCTAACCAAGGCATTGGATAGAGAATTGTTGGAGAAGTTATCACGAGGAATGGGACTAAAGCCCGTAAATTGAAAAGTTCTATAGTGGATACCCAACCTAGTTGGTCCTAGGTTCAAAAGTGACAACTAAATTATAGAGCGAAGGATGGTCACTGTGGGGGTCCCGGACTCCTACCCACTCCTCGTTGAAACAGTGACTCCCGCAGGAGGTTAGCAAAAACGTTTGCTTTAATGATTCTAAAATGTTGATCTACTCGATAACATTGGAAGAGTATGCGGGATACTCATGAAAGAATCACCTATGTGAGAGAGAAGAGGGCCGCTTCAAAGGAGAACTGTAATGGCTCAGTTCTTTAGAAACTCTTGCAGACCCAGGACGGTGACCCATGGCCAAAACGGGCACACCCATGAGAACGGAACAAAGTTGGAAGGTTCTTGTGTAAAGATAAGTCAATGTTTACACGACGGCAGTATAGTTCAAGGACATCGAGTCTACTAGACAGCCAGTAAATAAACGTGTCTTTACAGCGGAAGGTTCAAAGGATAAAACCTACCTCTCCGTGTGCAGGCATCATCCGGTGAACACAACGTGTCCTCCTATCTTCGTGTCCTTTTAAGTCTCGAAAATCAATTTTCATTCATGTGGGGGATTGTTGGAAAAAGTGTGTTAAAAGTGCATTAAATGGTCATTTTGGGGCAATTATTTGAGTGGGTTCCACTTCCGATTTGGGTCGGGCCAAAGTGGTTTCGGATTGTCCTTGCTAAGGGCTACAATTTGATATATGGTACACTCAAAACGGATAACGGGTGAATGAGAAATTGTTTTTCGAAGTTTATCCGTTGGAATGGAGAAAACTAGGAAAATGTGGGTTTGAGTGTGGGTTCTTTCCCACACCGAAAATCACAAGGGAATTTGAACCCTTTATAAAGGGAAACCCCCCCTAAGGAGTTAAGATTCCTAAAGTGAAAGGCTCTCTCACGCGCGCAGGGGGGGTGCGAATCAAATCCCAAAACCGAAGAACAAAAACCGCGACTTGCGTGTGCGGGCGACCTGCACACACGAATGTCGTCCGAAAATCTATCTTCTAAAGATAACGTTAATTTTTGTTCTTCCGGTACGTTCCTACTTTAATTTTTGCTCCATGCACATAAATGCCCAACGTCTATATGCTGCCATTGATGTCCCAACGTTCATATGAACGTTTTGGGTTGTTTAAGGACTGGAATCAATGCCCAACGTTTAGGACATTGATGCCCAACGATCATAACCCTTAAACAGCCATTAACACACCTTAATCCACCCCTATAAAAGGCTAGTAGGTGCTTTGCAAAGATAATTTTTTCATACGCTTCGTTCACGTATTTTCATAGCTAAAACAGCACCTCTAGCACTCCATACAAATTCCTTCGGTGTTCTGCTTTTGTTCACGTTCGTTGGAACTTTAGTCTGAGTGCTAAACTATTGTTCGAAGTCATCGTATCCTGGGAAACGATCGTTGCAACGCTCCTAGCACCCCGGGAGGCAACGAATACGTTTTAAGGAAATCGTGCGTAGCACGAGCTTTGGCTTATTCTGCTTCATCTCATTTCTTGTTTTTCTTTAAGTCATTTTATTTAATTAATCTTTATTAATTAATTTTCTTTGTTTTTCGAAACACACCCAACAATCTTAAAACGTATTCGGTGATTGTTCTACTACGGTAAACAATCTTAAAACTTGTACTTTGTCACCTTGGTGAACGAACTTGTTTTTTTTTTGTGCTTTCGAATAACGTAAGAAACGAAAAATGACTTCTCAAGAAAATGAAAATGTTGTTGGGCAGAATGCTTTGAACGGTTTGAACGATAATCACTCTGAAAGCGGAGCTCCGGTGAACAATAGTTCACAACGCGGTGCATCTGCTTTGGTTAACCAAATGGGTATCCCTATGGTGACCGTTTCGAGCAACTCTGTGGAGAAACCCGAAAAATTTAATGGGTTAAACTTCAAGAGGTGGCAGCAAAAGATGCTCTTCTATCTCACTACTCTCGGTCTTGCACGTTTCTTGACCGAGGATGTACCGGTAGTAACCGGGGGTGAGGTGGATGCGCAATCTTTGATGGGTTAAACACACCCAACAAATACTACTGCCTACAAGATTTACTGCCCCTCCAGTTCGTCGCCGCAGGGGTGGATTTCTTCATTTGTATTGCATCCACTGCTCCGCCATCACTTTCCTTCTCCGGCGTCGCTTTATATTCGACATCTATTTTAACACTTCGCCCCGCTTCGTTTTCTTATGCGTCTGTAGAAGGGAGTTGTATCCTTCTTCTATACTGCAAGTGTGCAATAAATGTTGAGAGTCGCACCGCCTACAAATTCGCTTAGTTTCCATTTCAATAGAAAATACATTTTTTGTTTCAAATATACGGAGCCATACATCTTGGGGCAATAGTGTCTTTGTATTTCACTCAAAATGGATGAACGGTCATGTACAGTGAATTTTAGTCATATTCCGGACTATTGACTTTTTAAGTCATATTTTATGAAACTGTCTTTGTTTTAGTATTATCGTAGTAATTTTCCCTTTTTTTTACTACAAAAATTTTAAAGAGCCATAAACTCCTTCTAAGGAGTCACATGACCTATGTGATGTCATCATTATCATCACACATTTCTTTTATGGAGACTCACTAAAATATGTGTGACGATGATGCCCGCATAGATCCTATGACTCTATAAAGAAGTCATATATGACTTTTTAAAATCTCTCTTTTTGCTAGGCCCAAGCTTGCCCAGAGCCCCGTCTATCTTTCATCTCTGAATTAGGAAGGCTTGGGTAGGAGTACAAGTTTGGAATCGAGAATCAACAACCCAAATCATACCAGACCGAGCTGTTGTGATTAAGTTCGGTTTGGTTCCATCATTAATCAGTTGTTTGTTAAAAGTTTGGTCATGTTTTTTAGTATGCATGTGTGCGAAACTGTTAAGGTACTGTTACATAATAATTAAGTTTCTATTTATTACTCATTAATATATACTTTATATATTTTAATATTTATTTATTTATTTATTTATTTTTATATTAACTTCACTAATGTAATGTAGTTGTAATTGATAGGGTTGATAGATTGATAGGTATTTAATCGATTGCTCTTGTTAGACGCTCAGACAATCAATCAACTTTTTTTCTAGTACACTGCTAATTGAAGATCATAATTATCAATTGTAGACTGGTTGTGAATGTCTTTTTTGGTTTTCTTTTTTTAGTTAATTATGTATTTATGTTTGGAAGTTGAAATTTAACTTTTGAGACTCGAAATCATGGTAGCCTTTAACATATTTGTATTTCTTATAATTTCAAACGTTGAATGTCTTTATGTGGCACAATTTTAGCAGTGATTTCTTAGAGATTAAAAAAATGGAATCAAAAAACGACAACAACCAAACTGTTGAGCTTTGGTTCGGTTCCATGTCGGTTCTACAAATAATTTGTATGAGTCAAATCGATATTAAGAGTTGAGATTTTTTAAATGATTCCATTTATTTTATCTAAAGATCGAATCGATCTCATGCTTGTGATTGACATAATCGAAAAATGACAACAACTTTTTCACCAAATACGTAATTTTTGATTTTGCGCGCTGAATTGTCTAATAATAAAAAAATGTTAGGTTGAATTTACTTTTCTGACTGCATTGACCGAAGTTACCGTAGAGCATCATTTTTGTTATTTTTCATATTTTTTCCTATATTAAGTTAATAATTTTTTTCTCTTCATAAATTAGAAGAATCAACCAATCGAGTTACTTAAGTCAAAACTCAATAAATTTTAACAGAACCAGTCAACGCAAATGATTTGGGTATTACCAAACAGACTTTTAGAGCAAATAACTTCTCTTCGAAGCATTACTTTTTTTCTAACTATGTGAGTGCGCTTGGTGACCTTATTTTTGGGTAATTAGACTTATCAGCCAACTTTTTAGCCAAATACGTAGTTTTTGATTTCGCGCATTGAATTGTGTAATAATAAGAAAAAGTAAGGTATGAGTTACTTTATTGTTTGTATCGCCTGAAATTACTATAGAGATCATTTTAGATATTTTTCATATAACTTTTTCTTTATTTAATTAATAAAATATATTTTTAATATAATTGCTTCATAAACGAGCAGATTTAGCCACTTCAACCACTAGAGCCCGATTCGGCTGATTTTGATATTAATTATCAAACGGACTCTCTGTTTGAGAAAGTCATTTTGACAAAATCAACGTCAATAAAGTAGGTGTTTAAATCAAAATGGTATCCTTAGAGATATTTGAATTGAAATATGAAGCATGTAAAAGTAGTAGGTAAGCAAGTCCACAAATGGAGGTGCATCTTGGTCAAAAAGGTTGAATGCCCAACCTAAGACCCCCACCTCGACCCGACAGGATGGTGGGAGGTTAATCACGATGACTCAGTCAGCAAAGTGACGGTAGACCTTATACACGTGCGCACCAGAAGTTCAGTCTTATTTCAGGTTCTGTAACCTTCACAAGGTCGTTGCGGATTTCGAACATTGGTCACTTGGTCCAATTTTCCCGACCCGTAAAATTTGCTAGTCTCCCTGTGTACTACGAGTCTACAAATGGAGGTGCATCATTTTCATGTTGCTAGTCTGGCTGTGTACTAGGAGTCTACGAGAGGGCCTTAATGTCTTTCCACACTTTAACGACCGGTCCCCCCACGCCGTGTGATGTTGAAGCCGTACACGTGGCTGAATGTGAGACTAGTTTCCTCACTTGGCCGTTGACACAAGTACCCACACACAGCACATTCTAGCCTTCCTCTGTTTCAGGCAAAAACCAAGCTCTGCTTTTCCCGGCTCTAGACCGGACTTTCACCAGCTCAAACCAATCAAGAATGGCGTCGATTTCATTTTTCACCCAATTCTATAGCAAACCCATCGCTGGGATCTCAAAGCCCTTTCTAATTCCGGCGAAAGCTGCGATTTTGTCCGCGAATACCGCCGCGTCGAAGCCGTTTCCGGCCTTGGGTCTGGCGAGCGCGAAGGGAAAATTCGCCGTCCGGGCAGTTGAAGAAGGTGATTGGGGCCAGGAGGAGGCGGCTCCGGGCGGTCTGGCGGTGGCGGAAGACGGGATTGAGTCGTCGGAAGTGGTGACGGAGACGGACGTGTTGAAGAAGCAGCTGGTGGATTCTTTCTACGGGACGAACAGAGGGTTGGCTGCTAGCAGCGAAACCAGGGCGGAGGTGGTGGAGCTGATCATGCAGCTGGAGGCGAAGAACCCCACTCCGGCGCCCACTGAGGCCCTGCCTCTCCTCAACGGCAAATGGGTTCTTGCGTAAGCTCCTTCCTTTCACGTTCCTTTTACAATTACAAATATATGAGTGTGACTCAAAATGATTTATAAAAGAATATTTCTGTGGCCTGTGAGGAACTGCATATTTATATTTTGCATATATTGATTTTTTAATCCTTGATTTTATATATACAGAGTAATAATATTTCTCATTTAGAAGTTCAACTTTTAGGATTTAATAATACTACGTATAACTCTTGATTAAACAATCATTAGCTTCACATGATTACTAAAATAGGAGTGTAATTTTTTTAATATGTTAAATTTAATTATTAGTATTAATTCAAATATCATTAGGATTTGATAACATTACCATTAGTCATTCATCATCAACATAACCAAATGTGAAATGCCTACCATAAAAAACATAACCAAATACCTTTGTTTTTCAAATCTTAGTAATAATAATGTTTTTATTTCCTTTATTCTTATGCTCATTTTCTAAGATATACTTGATTACATTTTTCTTACATTTTGGAAGTTAAATTGTGAAAAGAAAAACTCATATGGTAGATCCGGAACTTATTGTTTTCCTAAAACTCATATCAGACCAAAACATATTTTGATTTTTGAGACGAAAGATTAAAAAGGAAGAAGAAAATGTTGAGATGGATGACCCCTCAAAGGACGGAGATCCGGAACGGAAAGCGGGATATGCTTACGGTTCTAGGTAGCAGTTCGGTTCTTTGGATTTTTGGGAACTGGAACCGTCGTTCGGAACTGGACTATAACCATTACTGTGCGGTTCTGGTTTCGATTTCATAGTTTCCGGAACCGTGACCCGCCGGTTCGGTTCCTGTTCTGGTTCGAACTGGGATAGGTCTAGATTTAGTGAGTAGACCAACATGTTCATTGTGGAGCGTAATAGCGAGATAGAAGGTTGGAGATTCTCTGGTCTTTTAGAATGAAGAGTGAAGAATGTATACCCCTCATTAAGCAACCTTACTCACTATACTTTTTAAGTAACCAACCACAGTTGGGTAATTGTTTACGTTTGTATTTTAGACAGGAAAAGATTGAATTTTTAAACAGCTTTTTGGTGTATATAATAAATGTTTTGGAAATCAAGCAATTTATTTATTTATCTTCCTTGTATTTTACTCTCGCATAGGATTTTTTTTTGTCTTAATTCTTTTTTCTTTCCATTAAGCTTCCTAAATAAAAGCTAATATGAAGTATTATTATTGTTTTTTTTTATGAAATGTAAATATATATTACTACGTAACACCCAAGCAAAATTTAACATGTACAATGTATCCAAAAATCAAAAGCCCCCCACCCCCTCCTATTTCGTAAAAAAAGGAGAGGGTAAGAAGAGTCTTATAGTCTAGTCTAATTCAATCATGGCCTATATGCAGAAATATGCGGCCAATAAGTCAAAAATCAAAACTATGAACGATGTTGCAAGGTGCACGCACACAAGTCCAAATGTATAAGTCGGTGTCGTTGCATCCAAAAGTGCATGACTCCACTCAAAAGTCAATCAAGTCATGTGGGTAGATGTTAAAGAGTATCTTGTATACCACATGCTTGATCTTTGCAACAACGTCCTCCTCTGTCTTTGTAACACCGCGCCCCGTAGGGCCCGAGGTAGTTACTCCAGACCTCTTTGGACCTCTAGTACTGTCCTCACAAACCATCACGAGCCTTTACCGTGCACTTTGTCCTCACTCGTGCGTGTCCTGAGAAACTTCCTAGGTGGGTTATCCATCCCAAGACTACTCTCGTGCAAGCACGCTTAACTTTGGAGTTCTTGGGTGATGAGTTCCCTTAAAAGGAGATGCATCTATGTTGGTATGAGTAGTACTATTAATCCGTTTGAATTAAATCTCAAGTATTACAGTCTTCCCCCCTTCGTCAAATCTGGCCTCATTCCTTGTGTGCCAAATATAGTAGACCGCAACACAGAATGCAAGTCGGGCAGCCTTGGCTCTCATTGTTGCTCCTTTGCACGTCTTGGTGATTCATTCGATTGCACTAAGGAGCGTGTTCATCTCGTGTTCAAGTCCAATCCAAGCTCTAACCTTGTCCCATACCCTGCATCTAAATGGACAAAGGAAAAAAAGGTGTGAAGTTGTTTCTAATCCACCCTTGCATAGGTCACACCTATTAACCATGTGGAGGTAACCGAGGCTATCCTGGGTAGGAAGCCGATTCCTCAAGGCTAACCAAACGTTAAACGAGAATTTGGGAGGGATATAGGAATTCCAAATGAAGCTCATCGGAGTCCTGGGGTCCCTTTAACTCTTAGGAGTTCGTAAACCTTTCTCGATATCAATTTCCCATTTATGCTCCTCGCATTAAGTCCCATAATGGTTTCATTTAAGTTATTAAAACGACCTCATATGTTATCCCGAATAAGGCCCAACCTCTTCATAAGTTGCGAGTTTCGGTCGTGTGGGTTCTTGCGTAAGCTCCTTCCTTTCACATTCCTTGTATGTACTTCTCTAGCCATTGCCTCCGTGTCTTAAATGCATCTGACCCATTCTTTCTATACAGATAATTCCGTTTCAGCTTTCTTACCCTCTTTGGTTGTTTATGCTCCAATTGGTAATCTGATGGAGTATATGGGTCTGAGCCCCAGGACCCACATACTCGGAAGAACAGAACACAAGACAACAGAGTGGCGCCCTCGTCGGCCAAGACGCCCCCGTCGGCCGAAAAGGGGCCAACTCAGATTACGGTCCTGAGTTTAAGGGACTCGGGTGCCCTCGTCGGCCGCGCCCTCGTCGGCCGTGCCCTCGTCGGCCACGCCCTCGTCGGCCACGAAGACCTCCCAGAATCGGATTCTATACTTACTCATTTGTACAGCCCATTAGAGGCTTTGTATTCGGCCCAGTAGCGGTCCAGTTGTAAATGGGCCTCCCAAGCCCAAGGCTTGGGAGCCCAACCCTAATTTTCTCTATAAATACTCCCCTTTGGAGTAGTTATAGGGGTTACGAAATCATTCTATTGAAGCATATTATTGCACTTCTCTCTCTAGCTCTCACCTCTCTCTAGATATACTCTATCATTTGGTGCTCTCGTTGAGAGCTAGAACAATCAAGTTAGCACCCTTCGTCGCTACCAAGCACAGCTAACCACTGATCATGGGGAGAACCAAGTCAAACCGCAACCTCGTCAGCAAAGTCATCCCTGAGGACCAAGAGCCCAGGGAGCACGATGAGGACGCCACGGCCGACCAGGTCGGCGGAGGGGACCTCTTCCAGGAGGCCTTCAACCTCACGACGGACCTCCGCAACCAACTCAACGGCGGAGTCCCCGACGCCCGCCTCGGCCTAGAAAAGAAACGAGCTGAGAAAGCGGACCACGCCCCGGCCCAGCCTATGGCCGCGGCGTCTCCATCCGTAGATCCTCAGGTCCAGGCCGCACTATCGGTCATCATCGCCAGCTTGGCTCAAAATCCCACCGTCCTCAGCGCACTCTTGCCAAGGACCGGGGGAAACGTCACTCCACCTCCTCATCCCCAACCACTGGCCGACCAGATAGGCAACAATGAGGGGGTTGTGGCCCAGGACACGGCGTCGTCCCACTCCCACCCTGCTTCCCCTCTTCGGCCCGGGCAGACCCCATCGCGTGGAAAAGCCTCTGCCTTCAATAGGCTAGGTGACACGCGCCGTCGTCCGGTTTCGGAGAGGATGGCGGGACGGATTGGTGATCCTCGTCCTGGCTCGCCAAGGGAGAGTTTGGGGTCTGTGTCCCGGGCAGCGGACCAGCCCCGCCCGGACAAGGGCAAGGGGAAGTTGCACGAGGATGACGTGCGTCACCAGATCAACGCGGCTCACAACGAGCGCCTGAGGAACCAGCCGGGTGCCGCCGCGGCCGACAGGGACCCCCGGGACGAGGTCATCGCCCAGCTGAAAAGGAGGTTGGCTCAGATGGAGGCCAAGCAGTCGGCCAACATCCCTACGGCCGGCGCCTCCAATGACCCCGGCCTCAACGCGCTCATAAACAAAGTCAGCGCCCTGGAGAGGGAGCTGGCCGAAGGGCGGGGTGACCCCATCATCCAGGTCAGGACTAGGACCCCTTTCACCAACAGGGTCCTCTCGGCCCCCATCCCTGAGAAGTACAGGGGGAACGCCATCAAGTCCTACGATGGCCGATCAGACCCCCAGGAGCACTTCAGCCGTTATCAAAACAACATGCTGATGGTGAACGCGTCCGACGAATACCTCTGCCGTTGGTTCCTCTCTACTCTCGAGGGGCCAGCGTACGAGTGGTTCAACGGACTGCCAGAGGGAAGCATTGACTCATGGCAAGATCTCGCCCAGCGCTTCCTCACTCACTTTGCCGGGAGGAAGCGCGCCAAGAAGTATTTCACCCACCTCCTCTCCGTCAAGCAGCAGCACGAGGAGTCCCTCCGGTCATTCATCGATCGGTGGACGAGGGAGACCGAGGAGGTCGAGGGGGCCGATGAGCGCACCCTCCTCGCCTTGTACCAGGGAGCCCTCCGCAGCTCCCCGTACGCTAGGAGCCTCATCACCGACCCCCCGAGGTCGTACGCCAAGGCACTCCAGCGCGGAGGCTTGTACGCCGACGCCGACGAGCTCCACAATCACAAGAGAGAGGGGGGCCATCCCCCCAGGAAGACAAATCCTTCGCCGGCCCCGGGTCCGTCCCCGGCCGGCCAGGGTGCCCAGGGCCGTCACGGCTCTGGTGGACAGAGTAAGAAAGACCGCCACTGGCGGCCGAGGCTGGAACGGCAGGGGTTACCCTCACCCACCCGGTCGGCACCATCCTCGATTATGCCGAGAAGCACGGCCTCATCGAGCAGGCTCCTCGGCCGGCCGAGGAGATCCTTGCCATCCAGCAGGGCGGCACGTACTGCCGGTTCCACAAGAACTCGTCACACAACACCGACGATTGCATCACACTGAAAAAGGCCATCGAGCGCCTTATCCGCCAGGGGGGACTCTCCCAGTTTGTCAAAGGTGGCCCACGCAAGAACACTTGGGTAAACACCGGCAAACATGGGGGCGAACCCTCTGCGAAGAAGCGTGAGATTGGTAGGCTCAGCGACGACGAGGACTTCGAAGAGCCTCCACCAAAGAAGAATCACATCCACCTCATCGTAGGTGGGAACACTGGGGGGGACTCCGCCACTCAGAGAAAGAAATGGGCCCAATCCCTTTACATTGGGGAGGTGTCCCACGTTCCCCCCCAGCCAAAGAAGCAGCGAACGGAGGCGATCACCTTCACTGACAAGGATCTGCCTCGAGGGACGGAGTCACACAGGGACGCCCTCGTCATCCGATGTGAGATCGGTGACTCCATCATCCACCGTACTTACATCGATACGGGGAGCTCCGTCAACGTGATGTACCTGGACACCTTCAAGCAACTGAAGCTGGACAGAGCTTTGCTGAAGCCGATCAAGACCCCGTTATCCGGCTTCACCGGGGACTCTATCGACGCCGAGGGCACGATAGTCCTCCCCGTGGAAGTCGGTGACGGCCCCCACCACGCTAAAATTGACATGGAGTTCATGGTGGTCAACCTCCAGTGCGCCCACAACCTGATCTTGGGCCGGCCAGCGCTGGAGGACTTGGAGGCCATCATCTCCATGAAGCACCTATGCTTGAAGTTCCCCACCAATGACGGCATCGGCTACGCCAGAGGAAATCAGAGGATAGCGAGAGCTTGCTATCTCAAGCTAACGAGGCCGGCCGAAAGGGAAGGACAGCGGATAGACACCATTACGGCCGCCGTCGCCATGGACGAGGAGAGGCCACATGCGGAGCCGGCCGAGGAGATCGAGGAAATCCCCTTGGACACCTCCCGGCCGGAGCGGGTTCTCAGGGTCGGAAAGCAACTCCCCCAGGACCAACGAGACGCCATCCTCCTCGTCCTACGGTCATGCGCCGTCGTCTTCGCGTGGGGCCCGGACGATATGCCAGACATCAGCCGCCAGGTGATCACTCACCGGCTGACCGTCGATCCGGCCTCCGCGCCTGTCAAACAGAAGCGGCGCTACTTGTCCGCCGACAGGCGGGACTTCGTCAAAGGGGAGGTCGCCATGCTCCTCTCAATCAGACACATCAAAGAGGTGAAGTACCCGACATGGTTGGCCAACGTCGTCCTCGCACAAAAACCGCCGACGTTCAGAATGTGTGTTGACTACACTGACCTGAACAAGGCGTGCCCCATGGACCCGTTCCCTCTCCCCAACATTGATCAGCTGATAGACGAGATGGCGGGGTGCGAGTTGATGTCGTTCCTCGATGCTTTCAGAGGGTATCACCAAATCTCCATGCATGAAGATGACGCTGAGAAGACGGCATTCATGACCCCAGAGGGAATCTTTTGCTACCTCGTCATGGCCTTCGGACTCAAAAACTCCGGCGCCACCTACACTAGGATGGTGGCCAAGATCTTCAGAGCGGTCCTTGGCCGGACAATGGAGGCGTACGTCGACGATATGATCGTCAAGAGCAGGCAGGCCACCTCCCACGCCGACGACCTCCGGGAAATCTTTGAGATAATGAAGGAGTTCAGGCTCCGCCTCAACCCCAAGAAATGCGCCTTCGGCGTCCAGGGTGGCAAGTTCCTCGGCTACATGGTCAGCCGGAGAGGCATCGAGATAAACCCGGAGAAGACGCGGGCCATCATCAACATGGAGCCGCCCCGCAACGTCAAGGAGGTACAGCGACTGACGGGGCGCCTGGCGGCCCTAAACCGGTTCCTCTCCAGGTCAGCCGAGAGGGCACTCCCTTTCTTCCAGATCATGCGCAAGGCAAACAGCTTCAAGTGGACAGCAGAGTGCCAGGGAGCATTCGACGAATTGAAAAGGTACCTGTCGTCCCCACCCGTACTCTCCAAGCCCAAAGCCGGCGAAACCCTCTTCTTGTACTTAGGGGTGAGCACGTCGGCCATCAGCTCCGTGCTCATCCGTGAGGACGAAGGGGTGCAGAAGGCCATCTTCTACATCAGTAAGACACTTAGGGAGGCCGAGCTCAGGTACTCCCCCATTGAGAAGACGGTGTTGGCCATCGTCCACACCGTGAAGAAGCTGGGGCACTATTTCCAAGCCCACACCGTCCATGTGCTGACCCAACAGCCTCTTGGCGCGCTCATGAGGAGCCCCACAAGCTCCTCGAGGATGGTGAAATGGGCGATCTTCCTCAGCCAGTTTCAGATTGAGATCAAGCCAAGGCCATCTATCAAAGGGCAAGCCTTGGCCTTTAGTGCATCAAAGGGCGATCTTCCTCGGCCAGTTTCCTAATCAAAGATCACATAAGTTCCCATCTTTATGGGAGACTCACATTCTCACCAAACATTCAATTACAACCAGTTACTATACAACCAGACACTATCACAACTACTGCATGTAGTGCATCTTTAATTGTGGGTCACAGTGAAAGTAGGGGTGGGCACAATATACCGAAACCCGAATAACCGAACCTACAAGTCTACAATAAAAGAAACAAGTTTTTTCAGTTTTTAACTGATCGATAGAAGTATATGTTTCATGGTGCTGTTAAGGTTCTAGAAAACACTTATGATTGGTTAATAAAGTAAAAACTGTGTGGTAGAGGTTTGTGCAGAGGAGAGAGAATTGATTGTAACCAACCGTGTCCATCCCTACTATGTAGCGCAAAGTACAAAAGTTTGTCATATCCTTAGGTAACATTATCCATTTCACCACACCTCTCTATAGTGTTATTGCATTAGAGGGGGATGAGAGCTTACTACCAACTATTGCCTAGGAAAATTATCGGGCTACACGTTTTTATCTAGAGTTCCAATCCATATTGTCATCTATCACCATGCGTCCGTGCGGAGGTCGAAACCTCTTCCTCTTATACGTTCTCACGCTACTCGTGCGCTTTTAACACACTTACATTTTAAAGTGGATCACTCATCCCTGAGCCTCAACATACTTAAATTGAGAGTTCTGAGGCTATGGTTGCAATAACGTTTTTAAAATCAATTCATAAAATGCAGGTGTTTTTAGCAAAGTTCTGAGCATGCCATTATTTCAATTTTAAATTAATTTTTTTTGAAGTTTTCAACACACTTATTTTCTGATCCCAGGACCGGAGTTCAACCTAGTTGGCTAATTAACTTGAGTTTTGAGTTATTTTGGATTCTCTGTAGGTTGGGAAATCAAATAGTAGTTTAGATGCCTTATAAATCAAGTTATACGAGGAATGAGTTTCTTCATATATTGTTTAGTCTTTGAAGTTGAAATATACTTTGGGGTTATTTAATTTCTATGGTGAATGGATGGTGAAATTTGCGATACTAAGTCCATTTGTGAGATGTTTATGCAGGTACACATCTTTTGTGGGGCTGTTCCCCTTATTATCTAGGGGCACACTCCCTCTAATCACCGTTGAAGAAATATCTCAGACCATTGATTCTGAACTCTTCACCTTTGAGAACTCTGTAGTGTTTTCTGGGCCATTAGCAACCACTTCGTTCAGTACCAATGCCAAGTTTGAAGTGCGTAGTCCTAAGCGTGTGCAGGTCAGTTCAGTCTTGCTTCTCAGTTCGCACCATCAAGTAATGTTATGCATTTGTTTTGGTTGAAGAAATTGCTTCAAATATAATTAAAACAATACAAAGTGTATCAGACGGAGAAGCTATGGTTATTCCTAAAATAGAACATATTTGATTCTATAAAAAACGTAAAATCGGTTGGAAATGGTTTTTCTAATTAATATTATGGTCATTTTGGAGCTAAAATGTGTAAGGACCCGCTTCTCATTTCTTCAATTGAGATATTTCTATTTCAATTTTGTATTAATTTATTTTGTATGTAGAGTTTTCATTTAACAAAATCTTCTCATTTAGGAGCAATAAGTCCTATTGTAGGAAGAAAATATTGTAACCTTATTTGAACACTTTGCCTATGCTTTACTCCTATTAGTTTTCTTAGTTTTGAGCAGTTTGATCACATTACTTAAAAGTCCTAAATGTGAAGCATTCAAATAGTAGTTGAGACTCTAGTCCTTTGGGAAAAAAATACATATACAAGACTAAAATTCAGGACAATTTCCAAAATATGGCGAGACATGATTGTTTCCCAAAATATGACCAGACACATGGAAAAAATTAAGAAAAAGAAAACGTGAACAAATAGTAGTATGAGTCGTTTTGGGAAACACATACAGTTTTAGTCAAGCCAAATGTATTTTTCTCCAATTTTTACCTTTTAGCATTGAATTTGAAATGTTACTATGATAAGAATTTTGGTAAGCACATACAGTTTTAGTCATACCGGAGGCAATTTCTCCGATTTTTACCTTTTAGCATTGAATTTGAAGTGTTACTATGATAAGAATGGCGTTGAAAAAAAAAGTGAAATAACGAACCAACATTTGATGTTGATGTATTATTCTCACTCAAGTATTTCTCAATATTAATGATTTTGACTACTCATCTATCAAATAAAATTGCTATGATGAAACCACAAATCTTTAAACTGATGGCTAGCGATAGGAAATGTTATAGCAATGTATATTAGCACTCCTCCAATCAAGATAGAATTCCAAATTTCAATACCTAGGCCTCCTGTTCTATGTATGTGCATATAAAAGGAGCCCAGAGTTCTCAACTTTTCTGATTTGAGCTTATATGACCATTGCAGATAAAGTTTGAAGAAGGCGTTATTGGGACACCCCAGCTCATAGACTCCATTGAGTTCCCTGAAAATGTGGAGTTCTTGGGACAAAAGATAGACCTAACCCCTTTCAAAGGGTTGGTTGCTTCTCTGCAGGACACGGCCTCGTCCGTCGTCAAGTCCATCTCCAGCTACCCGCCTTTGAAGTTCTCTATTGCCAATAAGTATTCCGAGTCGTGGCTTTTGACGACGTACCTGGATGATGAGCTTCGCATTTCCAGAGGAGATGGTGGCAGCATCTTTGTGCTGATCAAGAAAGGCAGTTCCCTCTTGACGCCTTATTATTATTAGACATGTAATAACAGTAATTCCAGAATGATTATATATATTTGGTATGATTCATTGGTATGCTGTCAACTTTTTAAATTAGTACTATGACTATTTAATAAGACATATAAATAAATATTAGATGATTGTATTCATACACTTGATTATGGTACTTATGTTCTAGAAATGTTATATGCTTAACTCATTCTTATTCAATGACTCTAGGATATTAGAGTTTGCCTAGCTAACACATGGGCAACACAGTTCGCATACCGTGTACAAAAAGAGAGACTAAACCTTCCCAATTTTTTCAGAGGACCCCAAATATCCTCTAACAACAAATCTAAGTAGGAGCCCTTTGTACCCCCTTACATCATTCATCATTGTTAATGCATCCGACTCAAACTCAACACACTCCTCGCACTCCCATACGTTCAGATTCAGTCGGACCCCAATCCCCTTTTTCTAGAAATAATGGATGCCTTGATAAAATCCTCTTGATCCGTCCTAGCATCCCAACTCTAGGCTTTAGTACCGTCCATCTCATTTACTGCATCATCAGTATTCACTTTGATAAAATCCGATTGAGGCTTCTTCCAACGGTCCAAGCACCCAATGTGTCTTTGTGCTCTGCTTGGACCAGAACCCTTATGCTCCGCATCAGAATGCTTCAGATCAGACGCTTCTGTTCCGAATCATAAGGCTTCAGACATAACTCTTTTGATTCTCTTCTGAAACGTTACAACAGTTATTGCCTCGCGCTCTTCTCCATTAATGCACCTTAAATGGATAGTTTTTGGACGAATTAACTCTGCTCATTGATGTCCAACGACCAGGTCTATTAGGGCAAACTTAACACAACAAATTCTTCCCTATAAGTAGATGACGGGTGTTTTGCAATAACACATCTCACAACACAGTTAGCACAAACGTTTTGAGCTAAAACACACCTCCAGCTTCTGAATATTTTCTTAGTGTTCTTGCTTGTTTTTTGTTCACCGGAACAATTGGTTGAGTGCTCAAATAATTCTTCATAGGCATTATATCCTGGAAAATGATCGGTTCAACGGCCCTAGCTCTGTGGGAGGCAACGAATGCGTTTTAAGAGCATTATGCGTAGCATAAGTTTTGACTATTTTCTGTTCCATCTTATTTCTATCTTTCTTTGACTGTTTTAATTAATTTCAATTGATTATTTATTCTTTGTTTTTCGAGAACACACCCAACCGTCGCCACCTCGTCACCTGCCACACTTCCATTGCCGCAAGGCAGTCTCGGAAAGCATAGGCTGCTGACTCCTCACCCTCATTACACAACATGCAAGTCATAGAAATACGAATCACTCTCCTATTTAGATTAGATGAAGTAGAGAGAGATCCATCCATAAGTTGTCAAAAGAAATATTTAATTTTTGGTGGAAATTTAAGAGACCACATAGCTATCCACCCCACCCAAGAAGTCGAAGCCATAACTCCCATTAATAATTTGTAGCATTTTTTTATTGAAAAAATACCACTACCTTCACCCACCTACCATATATTGTCCCCTAGTCATAGAAACTAATGGGAATACTGTTGGAATATTGACCTAGAGGCCCAATACCCAGATCGGGAAGGCCCAAGGTATCCGGCCCAAATAACAGGCCCATCACTCTATGATGAAAAGGTCCAGTAAGGAGACATACCGAACGGGGTTCGGCCCAAATAAAGGTTGCCCCAATAAGAAGACATACCGAACGAGGTTCGGGCTATATATCCTACTTGGGCCAATTTGACAGCATCTTCAGTACAGCCCAACATCCCGTTCGAGCAACGGCCAACCAGCAAGTGGCCAGGTGCAGTTAATGCCAGACTATGACATCAGCAAGTGGAAGCATGGATGACCAAGTCGGTGGAACAACGGCCAATCGGCAAGAGGCAGCCCATGCTCTCCATTAGTATAAATAGAAGGTTTCAAGTCATTGTAAGGGTTAGATTTTCGATACTCAAGCTCTAGAATAGCATCATTTGCTCTTATTTCTTGTATTAAAGCATAGTTTCCGACTTACCGATCGGGAAATCTTTTGTAATCAGATTGGTTAATTAATACAAGTGAGCTTTCGAGTTTTAGATTAGTTCAGATCTTATATTTTCTTTTACGCTTTGATTCTGGGCCATTCCTGATATATCCAAAGTTCATGTTGGGCTTTCGGATCTACGGGACTTACCCTCAACATTGGCGCCGTCTGTGGGAAACTTGCAAAAAGTTTCACTTTCTAAACATCCAAAAAACCTCCATTTTTAAAAAAAAATGGTCGGAATCAATTCCTATCATACAAACGACGGTTCACACCGTCACGGGAGGAGTCACACCCCGGGGAGTCAAAACCCCCAGGGACAATCCAGTCGAGGATCCTATCCTCGCGTTAATGGGGATTTTGTGATCCCAGAATCTCTGAGGAGAAATCCCCAGGCCATGCGTGACATGGCCCAATTCATGCAGCACATGGCAAACGAAGAAGAAGGAGGTTCCAGCTTTACAGGAGAAACTCCACGCGCGGAAACGACCACAGCGTCATCCCGCTCACATACCCATCGGGAGAATCGACGTAGCGCCCCACCAGCAGCGCATCCCAGTCCCAGTGACCGAACCCCGGTCGGGTCGCAAGCTAGAGGACCAACTCCCGTCGGTCATCATTTCCAACATGCCGAGCGGGAAGATACTAGGGCCCCTCAGCGGCATTGGGACCGGGACTGTGTGGATATGAGGGTTCCACCACCGCCCCCTCTGACGGCCCAGGAGGAAGAGATGGCCGAGATGAGGAGGCAAATGAATGAAATGCGGGACCAGATGAACAGGGTACCTGCACAACCTGCGCCAGTCCAACTGGGGATTACTTCCCCGTTTACAAGGGAGCTCATGTACGCGGATATCCAAGGGGGTGCCAAGCCCCCGACCGGCCAAATATATGATGGGGTGGGAGATCCCCACGTACATCTGAGGAGTTACCAAGGCGGACTTATGCTGCTAGGAGCACCCGAGGCTGCCATTTGCCGTTTGTTTTTCAGCACGCTCAGGGGGCCTGCCCAGGAATGGTTCGGGACACTACAGCCCGGGTCAATTAATAGCTTTACCGAGTTATCAACGTTATTCTTGGCCCAATTTGCTTCCAGTGCCAATCCCAAACGGCACTTCAGCTATCTGACCAGCGTGAAGCAAAACGCCAAGGAGACCCTCAACCAGTTCCTGAAAAGGTGGAGGGATGAAACTTTAACAGTGGGAAGCATGACGGATGATACCGCCATCACCCTGTTCACGAATGCTCTCCGAACGGGGGAGTTGTACAAAGAATTGAAGAAGAATCCGGGCACGGCGTACGCCGAAGTATTAGATAGGGCGCGCAAGCATGCCGCCCTAGAAGAAGAAATAATGATCAGGGATAAGGTCATTACGCCTGCTGCCCCGATCAGACTGGTTGATCGGCTGGGTCCTAGCCCAGCGGCCACTTTACCTCCCAAACAAGGGAGATTCACACCCCTGGTCCTATCAATAGCGGCCATCTATCAGAACGAGAGGGACAATATTCCCATCCCAACTGATTCTGGACAGTTCATGGGAACGGATGACAATGCTTTCTGTAAATATCACAACAGAAAGGGTCATGCCACCAATGCCTGCAGGGCCCTGCAAACAGCAATTGAGGATCTGATCCGAAGGGGCCATCTGGGCAAATATGTGAACAAAGATCCGAATGCAATGGGCACGTTAAAACCGGCCAGGAAACCTAACAGCTGGCGCCGGGATGCTCAACGTGACGCCCAGCCTCAGAATGATGTGTATGTTCCTCCCAGAGATGAGCCAGAGGGCTCGGGAGGCCCCGGAAAGAAGCCTCGAATGGAGGTCAAGGTCATATTTGGGGGCGGAGAGACCGGAGATTCGAACGCCGAACGGAAAAGGTTCGAGCGGAGTCTTTATGTGGGGTCCGTCTCCGCTCCCCCCAGAAGAAAGGAAGGACAGACCCGATCACGTTCGGGCCAACTGATCTACCCAACTCTCCAAGCCCCCACAGGGATGAACTGGTGGTAAGCATGTGTATTGACAATGCTTTAATCCGCCGAGTGCTGGTCGATACTGGGAGCAGTGTGAATGTATTGTATCTACAATCATTCGAGAAAATGGGTCTGCAAAGGAGCAACCTGACCCACCTGCGGACTCCACTGGCGAGTTTTACCGGTAACTGCATCGAGGCGGAAGGGACCATCCAATTGATGGTTGAAATTGGAGATGAAACCCACAGAGCGTCACTCCGAATGACGTTCGTGGTGGTAGACATAAGGTGCGCCCATAATGCCATTTTGGGCCGACCGGGATTGGAAGATCTGGAGGAAATAGCCTCTGTCCGCCACTCATGCATCAAATTCCCCACAGACACTGGGGTAGGGGTGGCCAGAACTGACCCAACAACAGCCCGGACATGTTATCGGGAGGCCCTAAAACAGATGAACACTCGTGGGATGCGGGTGAATACAATTGAGGTGGAAACCCACCGAACGGAGTTCGAGGCGCATCCGGAGCCCGCCACCCTTCTTGAACAAATCGACCTCGACTTTCCCCCGAACCGTAAGGTCGCTATCGGGGTAGATCTGGAGGCAGATATCCGGGATGGCGTGATTGCCGTCCTCAAAAAGTTTCAGGTGCTATTTGCCCGGGGGCCAGAAGATATGCCCGGCATTGATCCGGAAATAATATGCCACAAACTTGCCGTTCGGTCTGATGCAAAACCGGTCCAACAGAAGAAACGATACCAAGCGACCGAACGGCGGGAATTCACCAAGAAGGAAGTGGCCACTTTGCTAAGGATAAAGCATATTCGTCCGGTAATCCACGTAGAATGGCTATCCAATGTGGTTCTAGCCCCAAAGCAATCTACCTGGAGAATGTGCGTGGATTACTCCGATCTCAATAAAGCATGCCCCATGGATCCCTACCCGGTGCCGAGGATCGATCTGCTAGTGGATGAGACTGCTGGGTGCGAGTTACTGAGCTTCATGGATGCTTTCCGGGGTTATCATCAGATATTCATGCATCCGGCCGATGCAGAGAAAACGGCGTTTGTTACTTCGGATGGCGTGTTCTGCTACATCGTCATGCCATTCGGATTAAAGAACGCGATGGCAACCTTCCAGAGGATGATCGGGATGTTGTTTAAAGATGTACTGGGTGTCACAATGGAAGCCTACGTTGATGACATCCTGATCAAGAGCAAA